TGAGAGGAAAGTAGGGAGGATAGTGGAGTGATAGGGGAGAGAGTAGCTTGGCGAGAGGAAAGTAGAGAGGTTAGTGGAGCGATAGGGGAGAGAGTAGCTTGGTGATAGGAAAGTAGAGAGGTTAGTGGAGCGATAGGGGAGAGAGTAGCTTGGTGATAGGAAAGTAGAGAGGTTAGTGGAGTGATAGGGGAGAGAGTAGCTTGGTGATAGGAAAGTAGAGAGGTTAGTGGAGTGATATGGGAGAGAGTAGCTTGGTGATAGGAAAGTAGAGAGGATAGTGGAGTGATAGGGGAGGGAGTAGCTTTGTGAGAGGAAAGTAGAGAGGATAGTGGAGTGATAGGGGAGAGAGTAGCTTGGTGAGAGGAAAGTAGAGAGGATAGTGGAGTGATAGGGGAGAGAGTAGCTGGGTGAGAGGAAAGTAGAGAGGATAGTGGAATGATAGGGGAGAGAGTAGCTTGGTGATAGGAAAGTAGAGAGGATAGTGGAGTGATAGGGGAGAGAGTAGCTTGGTGATAGGAAAGTAGAGAGGATAGTGGAGTGATAGGGGAGAGAGTAGCTTGGTGATAGGAAAGTAGAGAGGATAGTGGAGCGATAGGGGAGAGAGTAGCTTGGTGATAGGAAAGTAGAGAGGTTAGTGGAGCGATAGGGGAGAGAGTAGCTTGGTGATAGGAAAGTAGAGAGGTTAGTGGAGTGATAGGGGAGAGAGTAGCTTGGTGATAGGAAAGTAGAGAGGTTAGTGGAGTGATAGGGGAGAGAGTAGCTTGGTGATAGGAAAGTAGAGAGGTTAGTGGAGTGATAGGGGAGAGAGTAGCATGGTGATAGGAAAGTAGAGAGGATAGTGGAGTGATAGGGGAGGGAGTAGCTTTGTGAGAGGAAAGTAGAGAGGATAGTGGAGTGATAGGGGAGAGAGTAGCTTGGTGAGAGGAAAGTAGAGAGGATAGTGGAGTGATAGGGGAGAGAGTAGCTGGGTGAGAGGAAAGTGGAGAGGATAGTGGAATGATAGGGGAGAGAGTGGCTTTGTGATAGGAAAGTAGAGAGGATAGTGGCGTGATAGGGGAGAGAGTAGCTTGGTGATAGGAAAGTAGAGAGGATAGTGGAGTGATAGGGGAGAGAGTAGCTTGGTGAGAGAAAAATAGAGAGGATAGTGGAATGATAGGGGAGAGAGTAGCTTGGTGATAGGAAAGTAGAGAGGATAGTGGAGTGATAGGGGAGAGAGTAGCTTGGTGAGAGGAAAGTAGAGAGGATAGTGGAGTGATAGGGGAGAGAGTAGCTTGGTGATAGGAAAGTAGAGAGGTTAGTGGAGCGATAGGGGAGAGAGTAGCTTGGTGATAGGAAAGTAGAGAGGTTAGTGGAGTGATAGGGGAGAGAGTAGCTTGGTAATAGGAAAGTAGAGAGGTTAGTGGAGTGATATGGGAGAGAGTAGCTTGGTGATAGGAAAGTAGATAGGATAGTGGAGTGATAGGGGAGGGAGTAGCTTTGTGAGAGGAAAGTAGAGAGGATAGTGGAGTGATAGGGGAGAGAGTAGCTTGGTGAGAGGAAAGTAGAGAGGATAGTGGAGTGATAGGGGAGAGAGTAGCTGGGTGAGAGGAAAGTAGAGAGGATAGTGGAATGATAGGGGAGAGAGTAGCTTGGTGATAGGAAAGTAGAGAGGATAGTGGAGTGATAGGGGAGAGAGTAGCTTGGTGATAGGAAAGTAGAGAGGATAGTGGAGTGATAGGGGAGAGAGTAGCTTGGTGAGAGGAAAGTAGAGAGGATAGTGGAGTGATAGGGGAGAGAGTAGCTTGGTGATAGGAAAGTAGAGAGGATAGTGGAGTGATAGGGGAGATAGTAGCTTGGTGAGAGGAAAGTAGAGAGGATAGTGGAGTGATAGGGGAGAGAGTAGCTTGGTGAGAGGAAAGTAGAGAGGATAGTGGAGTGATGGGGAGAGAGTTGCTTGGTGATAGAAAAGTAGAGAGGATAGTGGAGTGATAGGGGAGAGAGTAGCTTGGTGATAGGAAAGTAGAGAGGATAGTGGAGTGATAGGAGAGAGAGTAGCTTGGTGATAGGAAAGTAGAGAGGATAGTGGAGTGATAGGGGAGAGAGTAGCTTGGTGATAGGAAAGTAGAGAGGATAGTGGAGTGATAGGGGAGAGAGTAGCTTGGTGATAGGAAAGTAGAGAGGATAGTGGAGTGATAGGGGAGAGAGTAGCTTGGTGATAGGAAAGTAGAGAGGATAGTGGAGTGATAGGGGAGAGAGTAGCTTGGTGAAAGGAAAGTAGAGAGGATAGTGGAGTGATATGGGAGAGGGCTAAATGAAGACGAGCAACAGGAAAGAGGGAGAAGAGTGAGGGATGGAGAGAAGAAAGGAGAAGTAGAAGAAAGTGTAGGTCCAAGGTTGGATGAAAGGGAACATCAGAAGGATGTCATGATGGGATTTAGTGGAGTTTGTAAGCTTGTAGTTGCTTTGTCTTCAATCCCAGCTTCTGACAGAGACGAGAAGGCCTATTGACGGAGGCTGAGTGAGCGCTGTCGTTTTCCACTCGACACGGCCTCGAATCTAGCAGTCAGCGATTCTGAGTGAGCGGAGGAGTTTGATGTTGACATTGTTCTCTTCCTGGTGCATATCACTGTAAACTCAGGGCTTTGATAGGCTGGTTCCTCAGAAGGGCACTCAGAGACAGTGAATCAGAGAGCCCATGCCCTCACAGCTAACCATGCCAGCTCACTATGAGGGAAATGGAGAGGCTGCATCCCAAATGGGCCCTTGTCCTATGGGCCCTGGTCAAAAGTACTGCACTATATTGGAAATAGGGTGCAATTTACAGTGGCTTGCGAAAGTATTCACGCATTTTTCCTATTTTGTTGCCTTACAACCTGGAATTAAAATAGATTTTGGGGGGGTTTGTATCATTTGATTTACACAACATGCCTACCACTTTGAAGATGCAAAATATTTTTTATCATGAAACAAACAAGAAATGAGACAGAAAAACTGAAAACTTGAGTGTGCATAACTATTCACCCCACCAAAGGCAATACTTTGTAGAGCCACCTTTTGCAGCAATTACAGTCTCTTGGGGTAAGTCTCTATAAGCTTGGCACATCTAGCCACTGGGATGTTCCCCATTCTTCAAGGCAAAACTGCTCCAGCTCCTTCAAGTTGGATGGGTTCCGCTGGTGTACAGCAATCTTTAAGTCATACCACAGATTCTTAATTGGATTGAGGTCTGGGCTTTGACTAGGCCATTCCAAGACATTTAAATGTTTCCCCTTAAACCACTCGAGTGTTGCTTTAGCAGTATGCTTAGGGCCATTGTCCTGCTGGAAGGTTAACCTCCGTCCCACTCTCAAATCTCTGGAAGACTGAAAGAGGTTTCCCTCAAGAATGTCCCTGTATTTAGCGCTATCCATCATTCCTTCAATTCTGACCAGTTTCTCAGTCCCTGCCGATGAAAAACATCCCCACAGCATGATGCTGTCGCCACCATGCTTCACTGTGGGGATGGTGTTCTCGGGGTGATGAGAGGTGTTGGGTTTGCGCCAGACATAGCGTTTTCCTTGATTGCCAAAAACTCAATTTTAGTCTCATCTGACCAGAGTACCTTCTTCAATATGTTTGGGGAGTCTCCCACATGCCTTTTGGCGAACACCAAACGTGTTTGCTTATTTTTTTCTTTAAGCAATGGCTTTCTTCTGGCCACTCTTCCATAAAGCCCAGCTCTGTGGAGTGTACGGCTTAAAGTGGTCCTATGGACAGATACTCCAATCTCCGCTGTGGAGCTTTGCAGCTCCTTCAGGGTTATCTTTGGTCTCTTTGTTGCCTCTCTGATTAATGCCCTCCTTGCCTGGTCTGTGAGTTTTGGTGGGCGGCCCTCTCTTGGCAGGTTTGTTGTGGTTCTCCACAACTTTGTCCCTGACCTGTTTGGAGAGCTCCTTGGTCTTCATGGTGCCGCTTGCTTGGTGGTGCCGCTTGCTTAGAGGTGTTGCAGACTCTGGGGCCTTTCAGAACAGGTGTATATATACTGAGATCATGTGACAGATAATGTGACACTTAGATTGCACACAGGTGGACTTTATTTAACCAATTATGTGACTTCTGAAGGTAATTGGTTGCACCAGATCTTATTTAGGGGCTTCATAGCAAAGGGTGTGAATACATATGCACGCACCACTTTTCCGTTATTTATTTTTTAGAATTTTTTGAAACAAGTTATTTTTTTCATTCCACTTCACCAATTTTGGTATGTCCATTACATGAAATTCAAATAAAAATCAATTTAAATTTCAGGTTGTAATGCAACAAAATAGGAGAAACGCCAAGGGGGATGACTACTTTTGTAAGGCACTGTATTATGCACAATATATAAACCAGAACCACTTTCAGATAGTTTTTAGCTAGCTGATCTTATAGCATCTCAATATCACCCCAGAATATACTGAAATACTATATATACCTATATGAACCTTAAGAGTCTATCTGTTGCAGGTAAACAAAAAATGGTTCTTTGTTTTTGTTGCTTCATTGCGTGTCACCATTAAAACGTTATTGAAAGGAATTCAGTTGCTGTAAGGAACTTTCTTTCAGCATTTCAGTAATTTGTTCTAATGTTTTGTTTTATTTGAATCTATATTACCTCAAGAAGTCTTTCATACCAGCACTGAAAGCAGATTAGAGTTATGTGTATTGAATTGAGAGAAGCTCATTGATTTTCCCATTGAAAATCAGGATTTGTCTCTGTGGTCCTCAGGGATATCTCTAGACTTTTCTACAGACATGCAATTTATCCTTTGAAAAATGTAAAGAGGAAGATAAAAAATAAAAAATAAATATAAAGTATGTGTGTGTATGTGAGACAGTGCCTTATGGGCATTTGAGCAGGGATGTTTCGCATTTTCTAAAGCTCTATTCTAAAATGATGATGCCCATCTCTCTATATCCCAGCTCTATAACTCAACCAGCAGGCAGAGTGCCAATTAGTTCACATCAAAGGACATTCATTTCATCACCAGTGAAGAGGGAAATCAGAACCGAGGGAGCGTTATCCGGCAATAACCCAGACTGGCCTCATAGCTCAGTGTTAACCCCTCATGGCTCAGTGTTAACCCATCATGGCTCAGTGATAACCCCTCATGGCTCAGTGTTAACCCATCATGGCTCAGTGTTAACCCCTCATGGCTCAGTGTTAACCCCTCATGGCTCAGTGTTAACCCATCATGGCTCAGTGTTAACCCCTCATGGCTCAGTGTTAACCCATCATGGCTCAGTGTTAACCCATCATGGCTCAGTGTTAACCCCTCATGGCTCAGTGTTAACCCCTCATGGCTCAGTGTTAACTCCTCATAGCTCAGTGTTAACCCATCATAGCTCAGTGTTAACTCCTAATGGCTCAATGTTAACCCCTCATGGCTCAGTGTTAGCCCCTCATAGCTCAGTGTTAACCCATCATGGCTCAGTGTTAACCCCTCATGGCTCAGTGTTAACCCATCATAGGCTCAGTGTTAACCTCTCATGGCTCAGTGTTAACCCATCATGGCTCAGTGTTAACCCTTCATGGCCTAGTGTTAACCCATCATGGCTCAGTGTTAACCCCTCATGGCTCAGTGTTAACCCCTCATGGCTCAGTGTTAACTCCTCATAGCTCAGTGTTAACCCCTCATGGCTCAGTGTAAACCCCTCATGGCTCAGTGTTAACCCATCATGGCTCAGTGTTAACCCCTCATGGCTCAGTGTTAACCCATCAAGGCTCAGTGTTAACCCCTCATGGCTCAGTGTTAACCCCCTCTGATATCATAACCAGGGAATATAAAGCTCATGCTGATGATAGAGCTAAGAAGTCAATAACCATGTATTATGGTGTGGTTGATAGGTTGCCAGTGTAATAATAATAATAATATGCCATTTAAGGTTGGATAGTGGTGGTTAGAAGGTCATAGAGAGTTGGGAGACTTTGACCTGTCACTTGGGTAGTCCGATGTGGTGAACTGGTGTGCCCTCTAGAAGTCACTGAGGTTAGGCCTACTGCAGGAGACATTGCAACTCATTTCAAACTGTTGAGCTCCTACATTAAAATCCTACAGTAAGTATTGTGAGCATTATACATCATCCACACACTGTTTGAACAAATGAAAACAATTTGATACACGGCCAAATTCATCACTGTACATAACGTTTCAATCTAAATTATGAAATGTCATAAAAAATGTATATACTGTACCTGCATTTTATTGAATACTTTGAAATGTAGAATATTTGTATTAAGTTAGTGATACAGAAGTATAACGTAACTTCCTAACATCAGCTTTCAGGGGATTAGGGGACAACATTCACATCTCTGATCTACTGATACAGAAGTGGCATTGACTTAAAGAAATTACTGAATAAACTCAAAACTCTAGCAAGTTTATGATAATTAAGAGAGTTAAAAAATATATATTGCAGATTAGGTTAAATAAGCTCCTATATTCATAGAAAAATCTACTTGAATGGGACATGGCATGCCAAAGTTTTCACTGATATTACTTGGGGAATAAAACATACTGTATGCCAATTGAATATGACTTGTGTAATATATATTCTGCAAGACTGAAAGTATAATGTTGTGTTAATCTACACAGAGATAAATGAGTATATAAAATATACTGATGACAGTGTCAAAGGGAGTGCTAATGCCAACCAAATGTTTTGGCAAAAGGAAGATCCCACTGAAAATGCTAAGTAATTAGGCGTCAAATCTCTGTTTGAGCCAACACTAGCGATTAAAGCCAAACACACAAGATCAATTGGGAACTCTAATAAAAAAATGTGAATGTGTGAAAATATATATTCTTACAGCTAAGCCTTACGATGGGTGATGACTATTCTCCTCTAGTTGAGTCCACTTCACAATTACAGTAGACCTTCAGAGCATCTTCCTTCCCACAGTAAGAAGACTCCATGGCAACTACCTGACTCTGCAAAACTAGCATAATATTACAAGAAAAACGTATTAAATTAAGTCTTTTTTGTTTACATACTAACCCTTTCATAGGCATTGTAATTCCTGTGAGGTTATGAAACAGAAGAAAAATGGGTTTTAGACTGATAATGTTGAAATGATAAGCCAGTTAGGGTTACTGACTTACCGGTCTTGTCTTATTCCTTTTAGCTCCTAGTGGAGCAAAGGGCCTCAGTTATTGGTAAGATTCAGTATATTTACATGGAAAGTGGCCAATACAGCAAAAATAAATCATGGTAACATTCATGTTGTTCACTAGCCTCGAAAGCCAAACTGAATCATGCTACATTTCAATTCAGTTTACTTCGCTGATTGAGTTTCAATGTCGAGGCTTGCTTTTCACCCCCCTCCTTTGAAATCAGCTCCAGAGATCATTATTAACAAAACATGTCCAGGAAGTCTGCCACAATGCTATCGCTCCTTCCTGACTCACTCTCATCATGAGTCACATCCTTCGATCCGTTCTCTATCTGCATCACAGCGTTATTTAGAGACTGGCTGCATACAGTGAGAAAGACACTAATTAAATGATCACACAAAGGAGATTCATCACCCTCCAAAAGTTTACATCATTACCTTCAACTCTCAAAGCAAAGATTAGTCATAGAGTTTATCCCACTGATTTAATAATTAGGTGGATGTTATGAACACTGTATTGGGCTGTGAGTCAAGCACACTGAGTCCAATTCAAGGTGCATCTGGATTGTTTCATTTCCTTTTTGGCAATGTTTACTTTCTTAACTCTGAACAGAGGTCCAGTGGCTAGTAGAACTAATCATTTACATCACCATAGATATTGTCTGAAGTAAATGGATATCACTGTTCGGTAGTTTCAGATACAAACTATATAAGGGAAGACAACCCTGATAACTATTAACCATTACAGGCAATATAAATGATTTACTCAATACAGAATTAAACTGGTCTATAATTCTGCAATGAAAAGCTGTTGTGATGTGTGGTCCTCTGTAGCTCAGCTGGTAGAGCACCGCGCTTGTAACGCCAAGGTAGTGGGTTAGATCCCTGGGACCACCCATACACAAAAATGTATGCATGCATGACTGTAAGTTGCATTGGATAAAAGCGTCTGCTAAATGGCATATTATTATTATTATGCCTAAATTATGCCTAAATTATTATGCCAAAATGTCAACATTCTGCGTCTGCCCCAAACCCACATTTCAAAATGTTAAGCAGTAAAGGGAAAATATCAGGAACAGCCTTTCTGCTTCCAGCAAAATTGACAGGGTCATCCAGCCTTGTCTCTTTGCATCTGGGCCATAAAATTATGTGGTTCATTGTTTAGAAAATCAACTGCTGAAGGGAAGGACAAACTGGCATTAACCTGTGCCCCACAATGCACTGCTGCCTCCAAGCATGCCGTTCATCTCCGACTGGCACACTGAGCAGCCAGCTACAGTATCAGACCTGCAGTTGGGGACTAAATGAGGGTTAGACATGGTTTTAAACAAAATGAGGGTTAGATATGGTTTTAGACTAAATGAGAGTTAGATGTGGTTAACTCATGGTTTTAGACTAAATGAGAGTTAGATGTGATTAACACATTGTTAGGCTATGGTTAAACCCAGCACTCAGAGAAACAAAACACGACTAAGGGAGTGGAAGAAACAAAAATTATTTTAATAAAAGTTCAATTTGTCTTAGTCCAAAAACAACTGAAGAAAAGGAACAGAGTGGGCTAGTCGGCTCCGGAGGAAGGAGAGGCTGAGGCAGGCAGGCAGGCAGGCAGGCAGGCAGGCAGGCAGGTTGGGAGGTATGTCTGAACGCTCTAGTAAGAACAACGATCTGGCGCCGGTGGAGAGCCATGCCCAGGAATTAGTAGTGCAGGTTGATGAGAGAATAGGATGCAGCTGCGTAGGCAGGAATCACTGGAAACAACCCGCAGCTGCACAGGAGAGGCAGATCCTGAGCACGCCCCCCGATCCACTCCAGACACACCCACATAATGGGGACAAACACACATACAGATACAACAGAAAAAGAGGGGACAAAACAAGGAGGAAGGGAAACAGAAAAGGGAGAGACAAGCTGCCCACATAACACACATGGTTTTAGACTAAATGAGAGTTAGATGTGGTTAACACATGGTTTTAGACTAAATGAGAGTTAGATGTGATTAAAACATGGTTTTAGATTAAATGAGGGTTAGATGTGGTTAGCACATAGTTTCAGATAAATAACTTTGCCGTCTAGTGACTTGAAAACATAACGTTTCAGATTCAGAAAACTTCAATGTCAGAGAAGCAATTCATTTTGCAGCAGTCAGAAAACATACAAACAAAATGACATACTGTATATATATATATATTTTTAAACAGCAAATAGCAAAGATTGTTTACAAGCAAGTAGCCTAGGTAAGTGGGCTGGGTAAGTAGGCTGGGTAATTAAGTGAGCTGGGTAAGTAGGCTATGTAAGTAGAATGGGTATGTAGGCTGGGTAAGTTGACTGGGTAAGTAGGCTGGGTAAGTGGGCTGGGTAAGTGGGCTGGGTAAGTAAGCTGGGTAAGTGCAATTTCATAATAAAAATGTCAGTGAGCTATATGTTAAAGTGCAAGTGCTAAAGTGCAATTAGTCCAACAATTAGTTAAGTTGAAGAATTGTATTTGGAATAAAATAGTATTTGGCCCTATTTTTTTTTACCTTAGGTAGTCTGTACCTGCGGCCAGAGGGGAGGAGCTGGAATTCGAGGTGGAGTGGGTGGGAGTAGTCAACTGCTATTTTATTCGCCTTCTGGAGGGCTCTGCCCAGGTAGAGAGATGACAGTTCTTGCTGTTGCTCCCCCATGATAGTCCTGACTATCTTGCCCAACCTATTTTTTCTGTGCAACCTTGATATTCCCAAACCAGCAGGTCAGGCAGTAGGAGAACCATGATGGTTAGGTCAACATTAAAAAAGTGCAGCAAATACAGTCTCTGTTGGCCTTTCTTAGAAATAGCGTCAGTACACTGATCCCAGGACAGGTTGTTGTCAATGACTCCTCCACTATTTTGATGGGCTCACCTTTTATCAGTGATGGTGTGTGCAAGGTAGTGTTCCTTCGGAAGTCCATCACTATATCTTTTGTTTTTGATGTGTTACTTTTAGATGGGACGACTCACACCAGACGGTCCGTGCTCGGGCTCATCCCCTTCGAGGAGACTGACCAAAGCAGTGTCGTCAGCATATTTGATCAGGTGGCACAGGCTCCGGCAGCTGTCTGTATAGTACCGGTGAAAGAACACTGCCCTGTGGCGTTCCAACTGAAGTAGAGCGCACCGCCGAGAGTGTGTTACCTGATGAGGCCTATCAGTTAGGAAGTTGGTGATCCATGTGATAAGCATCAAGTCCGAAGTCTCCTCTCAGTCTGTCCGCGAGGACTGATTGTGTTAAATGTTGAGGAGAAATCTGCGAACATGATACGCAAATGAGTTTTACTGCCCTCCAAATTAATGTACACCAGATGTAAGAGCGAGAGGATGGCATCATCTGTTCCTCTCTCTGACCGGTATGCAAACTGTGGGGGTCAAGGAGATGCTTGGTGGTGTTGATGATGTATGCTTTGATGATCTTTTCAAGAGATGTAATCAAGAGAGAGGACCTGGCATCTTTTCACTCCCTCCTCTCTACATTTTCTTCATCTGTTTCTGCTGCTAAGGACACTTTCTACCACTCTAAATTCCAAGCATCTGCCTCTAACCCTAGGAAGCTCTTTGCCACATTCTCCTCCCTGCTGAATCCCCCCCCCCCCTCTCTGTGGATGACTTCGTCAACCATTTTGAAAAGAAGGT